TATCCCATTTGCATGACTTGTAACTGTAACAACGTAGTCGTATTACAAGCGCTTTCTCCGTTCATGAGTATAAGGGGTTTAATCAGACTATAGAAAAGCATATAAGCATTGACAATACACGTGCTTTCTTTTTGGCTTTAAAATCATTGATCTGATGTAGGTATGTGAATGGTTAAAACTGGTTAACCTTAACAGGTGATTCTTACCAGTTTTGGTTAACCGATGGGCAGGGGCAGATGAGAGTGCCGCGGGGCCCAGGGCAGCACCGCGGGGACCTTGGCAGTGAAATTTTGCGGGGCCCCTCCTTTGACACGGAGCATGCGCCGTGGCGCCATGGCGCATGCGCGGGGCCTCGGGAAGCGCGGGGCCCGGGGCAGCTGCCCCGCTCGCCCTGCCCTAAATCTGCCGCTGCCGATGGGAGCTGGAGCAGTTCCCTGGCCGTCACAGGCAGGCGGCTGCTCCACTCCTGCAGGGCCCACCGTGGGTCAAGGGCACTCCAGCCTGGCTGGAGCAGCCCGTTTGTGTCATGCTGGCCCTGACCCTTGTTTACCCCCCTCTTTAACTGGTTAAACAACTAAACAGGATTTTACATCCCTAGTCTGATGTGAGAAAACCCACATCCTCCAGGCGATAGAGTGCAACCAGTACAGCTATCCTGGCGCAACCCCAGCATGGACACAGAACAGGATAAAGCTGCTGTCTCCTGCTATAACTTATGCCCATACTCAGTGCTACGCAGACATCTGTAAATTATGTGGGACCAGCCCTCAGTGGGAGGAATCAGGCAAGCTGTTAGAATTCTCTATGAGGCTGTGTCTAAACTACATCCCTTTTCTTGAAAAAGGGCTGTAAATTAGACACTTTGAAATTGCAAATGAAGCCGAGATTTAAATTTCCCGTGCTTCATTTGCATAATGACAGCCGCGTTTTTTTCAAAGCAGTGCTTTTGAAAGAAAAACGGCTGTTTAGACAGGGATCAATCAAAAATAAAACCCTTTTGTGAACGATCCCTGTACTCATTTTTTCAGTACAGGATCTTCCGCAAAAGGGTTTTATTTTTGATTGATCCCTGTCTAAACAGCCGTTTTTCTTTCAAAAGCACTGCTTTGAAAAAAACGCGGCTGTCATTATGCAAATGAAGCACGGGAAATTTAAATCTCGGCTTCATTTGCAATTTCAAAGTGTCTAATTTACAGCCCTTTTTCAAGAAAAGGGATGTAGTTTAGACACAGCCTAAGTGTCAAATAGCAGGTAAGCAAGGATGACCCAGTGGATACAGTGGACTTGGATTTCGAAAAACCCTTTGACAAGGTCCCTCACCAAAATAAGCTGTCATGGGGTAAGAGAGAAGGTTTTCAAATTGATCAGCAACTGTTAGAGATAGGAAACAAAGGGCAGGAATAGATAGCCAGTAATCACAATGAATAAAGTTTATTGGTCCCCAAGGATCTGCACAGGGACTAGTGCTGTTCAACATATTCCTTAATGATCTGCAAAAGGAGGTAAACTGGGAGGTGGTAACATTTGCAGACAACACAAAATTACTCAAGGGAATTAAGTCCTAAGCAGACTGTGAAGAATTACAAAGGACTCTCACAAAACTGGGTGGCTGAACAACAAAATGACAGATGAAATTTAATGTTGATAAATCCAAAACAACCCATATTGGAAAAAATAATTCCAACAATACAATTAAAAGGATGGGGTCTAAATTAGCTGTTCTCACCCGAGGGAGATCTTGGAGTCACTATGGATTGTTCTCTGAAAACAATTAGAGGCCATTAGGAAGGGGATAGTTTAAGACACAAAGTATGAGGATGCCACTGTATAAATCCATGGCACGCCCACACCTTGAATGATGGCTGCAGTTCTGGTCATGCCATCTCATAAAAGATGCATCAGAACTGGGAAAAGTGCAAAGAAGGGAAACAAAAATGATTCATGGTATGGATCAGCTTCCATATAAGGAGAGATTAAAAAAACCCAGACTCTTCAGTTTGGAAAAGAGATAACCAGAGGGGTATGATAAAGGTCTATAAACTCACAAAAGGTGTAGTGAAAGTGAGTAAAAAGTGTTTTTTACCCCTTCGCATAACACAAAAACCAGGAGTCATCCAAACAAAATTAACATGCAGAAAGTTTAAAACAAACATAAGGAAATTTCAGGGTAGCCATGTTAGTCTGTATCTGAAAAAGTAACAAGGAGTCCTGTAGAACCTTAAAGATTTGGGCATAAGCATTCGTGAGTAAAAACCACTTTGTCAGATGCATGGAGTAGAAATCACAGAGGTAGGGAGATTCTACTATATATTTTAGAAATATGCACCTATCTGTGAGTCAGTTTGTTCAAGAACTCCTCTCAAATGATAAGCTCTAGGACCACCAAATTTGGTAGGCACCTTCGTCCTATCATAACTTAAAGCAAGGTCAGGGTTTGGTTGTGCCAGGAAAATGGGATATGCCTGGAATTTGATTGTTTCTCATAAAATGGAAAGGGAGCGGTCTGGCAGGAGGGACAGCTAGGGCACGTCTACAGCAGGGCAAAAGTCGAATTAAGATACACAACTTCAGCTATGTCAATTGTGTAGCTGAAATTGAAATAGCTTAATTCAGCTTTTGATGCTGTCTACACAGCAGGAAGTCGAAGGAAGAACACTCTAAATCTTGCCACCTGTCTACACTGGCCACGAGTACTTGCACAAGAACACTGATGTTCTGATGTATAAAATCAGTGCTTCTTGTGCAAATACTCTGACGCTCTCGCTCAGGGATAAGTCCTCTTGCGTAACTGTTCATGTGCAAGAGGCCAGTGTAGACAGGAAAGGTTAATTACTTGCGCAAGAAAGCCCGATGGCTAAAATGGCCATCGGAGCTTTCTTGCGCAAGAGAGCGTCTACACTGGCACAGATGCTTTTGCGCAAAAGCACATCTCTTGCACAAAGGCACATGCCAGTGTAGACGCTCTCTTGCGCAAATACTCTAACGCAAAAACTCGCGTTAAAAGTATCTGCGCTAAATCTTGCCAATATAGATGGAGCCACTTTATTATTTCGAAATATCAGTTATTCTGAAATAATGCTGCTGTGTAGACATACCATTATACTGCAGAATGACCATGGGGACAGCAAGGGCACGTCTACACAGCAGGGCTAAACTTGAAATAAGGTATGCAACTTGAGCTAGGCAAATTGCATAGCATAAGTCGAAATAGCTTATTTCAACTTTTGGCTTTGTCTACACAGCAGTTATTTTGAAAGAGAGCTCTCTTCCCCAACTTCCCTTACTCCTCGTACAATGAGGCTTACAGAAGTCGGCGTAAGAACCCTGTCATTTCGAATTTATTTCAAAATAACGGGCTTGCTGCATAGACATGCACTAGATTATTTCAGAAGAACTAATGTTATTCCAAAATAATGCTATGTAGACATGCCCCAAGGGGCCAGAATAGGGGACTGGGACAGCTCTAACCTCATTGGACCAGCAGCGGGCAGGGATGGAGAACAGGACAGCTATCTACTATACATTTCAGAGAGTTTGTCTGTGCATCTGCCTGTTCCCCACTTGGGGAACATTTACCCCTCCCCCAGCAGCACCTGCTGCAGCGGCCATAGAGAGATGCTTCTCATCTGGCCCCAAGCTGCTGTGGTGAGAGAGGACTGGATACTAAACTCCTCATCCCCAGCCCCACCCCAGAGTTATAAAAACAAAATGAACAAAGGGCCTGAGCAAGGCCAGATAAATCGTCTCATATATATCGCTCTACCTCTGTGATTTCCACTCCATGTAGCTTACAAAGTGATTTTTACCCATGAGAACTTATGCCCAAATAAACGTAAGTATTTCTTCACACGATGCAGTCAACCTGTGGAACTCCTTGCTGTGGGATGTTGTGACAGCCAAAAGTGTAACTGAGTTTATGGAGGATATGTCCACGAATGGCTATTAGCTATGATCAGCCATGCAACAGTGTGCCTTGGACGCTCCTTGGATGCAACTGCCAGAAGCTGGAACAGGATTACAGGGGATGGACACTTGAAATTGTCATTCTATTAATTCCCTCTGAAGCAACTGGCACTGGCCACTAGCAGAAGACGGGATCCTGGGCTAGACCATTGGTTTTTATTTTGTGTTTATTAGGTGTATTACAGCAGCACTTAGGACCCTCAGGCACGGACCTCCCTCACCACACTAGCCCCTGCCAGACACCCCCTTGTGCAATTCTGTGCAGGTAAATGTTGTGGGGCCAGGGAGTTCTGGGGTCCCACAGGCTGGAGCGAGGGGGGTCACATCAAGCAAGGCTGGGCACAGAAAAGGCTGATCCGAGGGACACATGGACTTTACGCAGCAGCAACAGGTTAGAACTGTCGTCCTGTTGCTGCCACTGCTCATACACACTGGCACTAAACAATGCTCCACCTGGCCAGGCACCGGTAAGGGGAGAGGGAGCCAACAGCTTGCTTTGGATTGCCCAATCTGGATCACAGGCCTGCCCCTACCCCTCCCAGCTAGGGGCACATCTCCCCAAACAAGTTCCTGAACAGGCTCCTGCTAAAGTTATGGAGGCGTCCAGTGCTGCCCCCCCCCCCACTGCTCCAGTGACTGGAAAACTGGTTCTGTGCCAAGCTGCCTGGTGAAGCAGGAGGGAGCAGGGAGCATGAGTGTTGCAGTTGGTGCAGCGGCAGTGGAGCAGAAGGCTGTCTGGAGCCTGGCACGAGCACAGCTAGCTCAACAGGACAAACCCCAGGCAAGGGCCCCCAGGCATGGCAGCAGCCAGGCCCCCCCCCCCACTGCTCCAGTGACTGGAAAACTGGTTCTGTGCCAAGCTGCCTGGTGAAGCAGGAGGGAGCAGGGAGCATGAGTGTTGCAGTTGGTGCAGCGGCAGTGGAGCAGAAGGCTGTCTGGAGCCTGGCACGAGCACAGCTAGCTCAACAGGACAAACCCCAGGCAAGGGCCCCCAGGCATGGCAGCAGCCAGGCCCGTCACAGGGTCAGTTTTTATTGGGGGGCTTGGGAGGGGGAGACCAGGCAGCTCCCCTGACAGGAAGTGGGCAGGGCTTACATGGAACACAAGCGGCCCAGCACAGTGGGTGCAGTGCCTGCACTGAGGGCAGGGCCGTGGGGCCAGCTGGCTGCCTGGGTCTGCGTGGAAGGATGACGTCTGAGTGCCGGAGCATTTGGAGCCCAGATCTCTCACTTCTCCTTGTGGTCGATGAGCCCCTTGGTGATCAGGTCCGGGATCTCCACTGCCAGCCATGGGCCCAGCTGCAAGGCAAAGAGCACAGGGCGGAGACCATGAGTGTACCTCAGACATAGCCCCACCCCCCACACAGAGAAACTCACCCCCAGAGCCATGAGATGGGCCAGCCCGAACTTGGGCACGTTCCTGGCCCACAGGGGCTTGAAGTGGTCAGTCAGGCAGATCTTCCCTCCCCTGCAAAGGACAAGAGAGATGTGAGGGCAGGGCTGCCCCATGGCTCCCCAAAGCACAAGGAGACATGGAGGGGAAACCGAGCCCAGAGCTTGGCCTAATGGGAGATACTGAGGCACTGCCACAGGGGCATCTGTCCCAGAGCAGAGCTGCAGCTCTCAGAGGCCTGGCCCCATCCCAACCCAAGGAATCTTCCTCTGCCTCAGCAGGACCCCTGGGGTGCCACTCAGACATGGCATCTCCTCCACTTCCTGTCCTGCATTGAGGGGCCACTTTCCTGTGCTCTGAGCTGTGTTCCACCCCAGAAGCGGCTGCATTTAGCAACACCCCAAACTCCTCCCACAGCCCATACACATCAGTGGGAGGGAAGAACCGATACAAACACAGGCCCACCAAAGCCTGGGATCTGACCCAGGAGCTCTGGTCCCGAGGGCCTGTGGAGAGTGGAGGCGGGAGCAAGCCTGACCTGTACATCTTGGCTGTTTTCCCATCCAGCTCTGGAATGGCGATTTCGGGGGCCGTGGACGGGTACGTGACGGGAATCTGCAAACCAACCAACCTGCTCAGTGATGCGCGTGGCCTTGCCAGTCCCCCCCCCACCTCTGCCCCGTATGTGAACCCCGAGTTCCCACCTGCTAGCGGACGGGTCCCCCATTCAGCCACGCAGCTGGGAGCACTGGCTAGGCCCCTTGTGTAGCTTCCTAGTGTGCTTGCATCCCAGAGACCGATGCAGAAGCTCATGGGGGGTGGAGGGGGATACCCTAATTTGGGAGGCACAGAGCCCTCTGCTAGCCCCACGTTACACAAAGTTCCCAGACACAATCCCATTGGCCTGGCTGTGGCGCATCCCACTGCAAGCTCTGTATCAAGGGCACTCTGCTCTCAACCCCCAGCTCGCTCAATGGCTGGGCTGCGCTAGCCAAGCACAGGATTTCCTCCTGCTTGCTCTTGCCCCAGGGGCTGGGGGATTCTGTGCCCCTCCCCAGTTAGCATCCTTCTTGTGTTCCCTTTCCGGACCCCTCACTCCCGTGGCCTAGTGATGCCGCGAAGCCAGCCACAGCCCGCGCCTGCCTGCTCCCACCAGCATCACAGGGAGTGGAAGAGAAACAGCTCCATGGCCCAGCCTTGGAAAGGAGCAGGGGGCCCTCCCCTCCGAGATGCCCCCAGCCCGGGACACTCACATCGAACTCGAGGGCAAACTCATACTTGAGCAGGTCGTGGATGTACCAGCACTTCCCGAACCACCTGCAAGAGACAGACGGGGAGGAGGGGGGCTGCTCAGTCTGCTCAGCTTCACAAAGAGGCAAGGGAGGGGTGACAATCCCGGTCTGTACGTGGGGAACCGAGACCTGAGAGCTCGTCAGTGCCACAGATAAAGGTGCAAACAGACCCGACAGCTGGAAGCTGAAGTGTAACCGTGGGAGCGACTCCCCCAGGCGGTGGGGGATGGGCCATCCCTGGCCATGTCTGACTCGAGGGGCGTGTTTCTAAAAGCTCTGCTCTGGCTCACCCGGGAGTTCAGATGAGTTAGAGGGAACATTGATGGGGACTGATTCTTTCCATCCATGTATGGGGTAAATTTTGTTATGTGAACCAAGGCATGTGCAGATGTGCACCACCAATATATGTATATGCTGCTGTTGGTGGGCTTTGTGGGTGCTCTGCTAATCAGTTGGACGGCATTTGAAACTCTCCTGGGTGGCTGCCCAAGCGCTCAGCTTAGAGGGAACACTGGTCCCATCTGGCCTTATGGCCTATGACCCCAGCCAGCAGCACCGTGGGCTGCACCTGCCCTCTCCTCCCCACTCTGCTCCCACGGGAACAGGCCCCATATGCAGCTGGAAGGGAAGGAGAGTGGCTGGGTTAGAATCTGGGAGTCAGGACTTGTGGGTTCCAGTCCTGGCTCTGTCAGAGACTTGCTGTGTGACCAGACACATGTAGCTTCCCTGTTTACACAAGGGACCCCTGATCCTCTCTCGGGCGGGGGGATGCTATTAGCAGCTATAAACAGAGCCCTATGGAAACCAGCACCACGGCCCCTTACAACACCCAGCTGGAGTCAGCACAGGAGGCATTTCGGTATCTGGAAGAACACTGGCACCTGCAGGGACTGTGAGAAGCTGATCAGATTGCTAGCTCACCCGCTGGATAGGGAAGAAAACAAGCAGCGTAAAGGCTGAGCTGGGGGCAGGAAAGCAGCTGCATGTAACTGTTGCTATGTTGGGGTGTACCCAGGGCACAAAGAACAGTCAAGTTACCTGACAGAGGCACCTGCTAGACCATAATTCCCAAAGAGGGCTCCCCGGCAGGGCTTCCAGGGGCTGATGGTTGCAGAGGAGGAACTGGCTAGCAGGACAGCAAGGGAACGCTCCACGTTGCTGCTGCAGCCTGGTCCCGTTCCTGATGGCACTCACTCGGTCCAGGCTCCACCCCCTCAAACTAAGGAGTCCCTTTGCATGTGGGGCATTGTAGCTGATGGAGCAACACTGCAAGCCAAGGCCTCGCTGATGCTGACACAGCCTGGGAGAGGAGGCTCAGGGCTTAGTGGCTGGTAGCAAGAGCGCACAGGGGCAGGGTCTGCAGAATCACTAACAGCTGGGCACCTCTCAGAGCATGCCGGAGTGGCATACAAGGGCACTGATGCTAGGGATGTTAATTAACTATTGGCGGTGTGTGTGTGTGCGCGTGTGCGCTCTGATCCCGACTCTGACCGTGTTGCATGCTCCAGCCCTGGCCCCACCGCAGGCAGGGTCCAGCTGGTCAGGCCAGTTAACCAGTTACCTTGTAAACAGGCTGATAAGCCACCTGCTTACCAGGTAACTGGTTAACCTCTTACATCCCTAAGTGATGCCCAGCCTATCCCCCCTCCATGAAGCCATTAGCTCCCCAATACCAACTCCAGCAGAACCTAATCCAACTGCTTGACACCACTGGAGCACAATAGGTGCCCTCAACGCTATTCCAGTGGGAGCAGCCAAATGGAGACTACATCTCCCAGCATGCAGTGCTCCATCTTGGCCCATGCAGTCAAGCCACAATGCCCACAGGCCCCTAGTTTCCAAAGGCCCCATTTTCCTGCTATGGAGGAAGGCAGCTGCAGCCTGTTGCCTTTGTATACACATTGCAGGTCGCCCTTGAGCTGCACACAGCCCAGGGATGCATAGGGACTGGAACCAGGGGTGCTACCACACCCCCAGCGTGAAGTGGTTTCAATTCCACACAGGATTTACAGTTTGGGTCAATGTCTCTCAGCACCTCTGCAGGGGTCGGTGACATTTCAGAGCCTTGTGCCAAAGGAAGCCCAGTGCTGATTGGACCACTCATCACCATGCATTCTCTGTAACTGGAACGTGTCCCTTATGCAGAGATCAGAAATGGCCCCAGGGACCAAGAGGGCTGAGATTATTATACTTTATTCCACCCAACGGATAGAACAGGGCACAGCCGAGGGGACCGGCAAAGAGGGAAAAGGGGCTAGTGGCCATCCCTGCTCCTTGAGAATGGAGGGAGAGTTGGGGGAAGGACAGGGTTCTGCGTGCTTGGCACAGCAAACCTTCAGGTCTCCTCAACACCAGAGAGGTAGCGTGATTAGGACAAGAAGGATGTGATGGGAGGGGGGTAACTTGTGAAGAATTCCCTTTCTTGTTCACGCCTCTAACTCCAGCAGCTATCAGAAAGCAAGGCCTGTTCGCCAGAGACTCAGCCTCCTCCTCCTCCTCCTCTTTCAGTGACTGGTCACAACAGTGCCTGGTGCAGAACCAAGGGCCTGGGACTTGGTATGCTCACAATTTCTTGAAGCGCAGGGAGCGGGCTGTCGCAGAAGAAGCCCATCAGAGAGACAAGAGGGCCTGGAGTCACACAAACACCTTGCGACCTGCCCATGCCTACCTTGTCCCTTCCTTGTTGGACTCCAGCCTGAACCAGTCGTTGTCAGCGTTTTTGTTGTTTTCCACATACTGGGAATGGAAAGAAAAAGGCAGTGAATGGACCAAGCCAGCTACAACATACGAGACAGAGAACCACATGAAATCAGAACCTGTGTACTAGGGTTATAAAAGTATATAAAAATAGTAATTCTTCAAAAGTCTATCAGGTACACAGTTAGCCATTTTACCTGGGGATGTATGGGAGGAGGGAGGACATGATAAAAGTGAAGTAATGCACATTGGAAAAAATAATCCCAACTATACATGCAATATGATGTAACTAAATTAGTCTCCAACTACTCATTGTGGATAGTTGTCTAAAAACATCCGCTCAGTGTGCAGCAGCAGGCAAAAAGAATGTTGGGAATCATTGAAAAAGGGAGAGAGAATAAGACAGAGAATATCTTATTGCCGCTATATGAAACCATGGTAACACCCACATTTTGAATACTGCATACAGATGTGGCCGCCTCAGCTGAAAAAAGATATACTGGCATTGGAAAAGGTTCAGAAAAGGGCAACCAAAATTATTAGGTGTTTGGAACGGATCACATATGAAGAGAGATTAAAAAGACTTGGACTTTTCTGCTTAGAAAAGAGGAGACCGGGGAGGGAGGGGAGGGGGCGGGATATGATAGAGGTTTATAAAATCATGACTGGTGTGGAAAAAGTAAATAAGGAAAAGTTATTTACTTATTCCTACATTATAAGGACTAGGGGTCACCAAATGAAATTAATAGGAAGCAGGTTTAAAACAAAAGGAAGTTTTTCTTCATGCAATGCACAGTCAACCTGTGGAACTCCTTGACACAGGATGAGGTGAAGGCTAGGACTTTAACAGGGTTCAAAAAAGAGCTAGATAGATTCACAGAGGATAGATCCATCAATGGCTATTAACCAGTATGGGTTGGAATGGTGTAGTAGCCTCTGTTTGTCTGTAAATGGGTGACAGGAGAGGGATCATGTGAGGATAACCTGTTGTGTTCCCTCTCTCTGGGGTTTCTGATATTGGCCACTGTTGGCAGACAGGATACTGAGCTAGATGGACCTTTGGTCTGACCCCAATATGGCCATTCTAATGTTCTTAAGGATGGTGGAGGAGTGCCCCCACAACCGCTCCTGGAATGCCCCTTGCCAGCCCCATTCCCAGGGTGCTGGCTGCCCTGTGCTGCAGGCTCTGCAGCCAGCAGGCTCCTGGCGCATCCCGGCTCTCAGCTGCCAACTCCACCAGCAGCATCCCAGCCACCAGTCACCCACCTCGGCTTTGCTGCAGTTCGCCTCCTAGATTGCCCTATGTCCTGGCTGCTGCTATGACCTGGGGCTCTGCTGTTACTGGGTGCCATTAATTTACGGTATGCTTGGGAGCCGAGCATTCTTAATGTGGGCCACTGGACCCTACTAGGACTTTACTGTCAGCACTTCCCTAGACTTCCTGCCAAAATATCACCCCCGACCCATACTTTGATACTGTCCTTCAAGGTCTCTCCTACCATGTCTTTGTTTTCCCATGCAAAGTACTTCTCCCTCCCTCATACTATGGTATCCTTCAAGCTACTATCACATGTCCTGGGCAAAATACAGGATTAATACTGTGTCTCACCTGCTTGTGACACTTTGGCAACGTTCTTCACAGTTCAAAAACCATTTTAGGTTTTTAAATTTTTTTTGGTGATTACTGCTTCATAGTGAAGATGAAGCAATCAAAAAAGAGCAACCTCTCCCCACCCCCACATGTTGCTGCCTCTGATAGGGTATGTCTACGCTTAGCCTCCCTAGTTCGAACTAGGGAGGCTAATGTAGGCATTCGAAGTTGCAAATGAAGCCCGGGATTTAAATATCCCAGGCTTTATTTGCATCTTCCCATCCGGGCGCCATTTTTAAATCCCCTTAGTCCGAACTAACTGCCCTCAATCCACGAGGGATTTAAAAATGGCGCCCGGACGGGAAGATGCAAATAAAGCCTGGGATATTTAAATCCCGGGCTTCATTTGCAACTTCGAATGCCTACATTAGCCTCCCTAGTTCAAACTAGGGGGCTAGTGTCGACATATCCATACAGAGGTAGCAGTACGGGGGGAGAAAGAGAAGAGGGAGCCAGTACGCATAGGGAGCTTGTGTGTAACTGCTGAAATTTTCAGCAATTACAAGGTTAAACAAACATTTAACATTTCTAGTGGGAACCCCGGGTGATATGCGCAGGGCCAAGCTGGAATGCCGGGTGCACTGGGACGGGATGCTGGGCAGAAACAGTGTCCTAGGCCAGGCAGCAGCAGAGACCCATGCACGGGATCCCCACCCAGACACATCAGGATGCCAAGTGGCAGCAGGGACCCAAGATACATGGCTGACAGCTGGATGGGGATACTGTGGAAAGGGATGTTGGGCAGCATAGAGCCCCAAGTGTAATGGCAGCAGATCTCCGGCCTTGGGGCCAGCAGCCCAAAGGAAGAAGGAACCCGGCTGTACTAGGATGCCTTGTGGCAACAGAGCCCCAAATGCGAAAGCAGAGGAACCCCTGGCACAGGGCTGGCAGTGGTACTCAGAGAAAGAGGCTAGTAGCTGGGAGCCAATGTGTACCAGGAGCCCTCCAGCTGCTGAGCCCATACTGTGGGGCCAGTGGCTAGGAAGTGGGGCTGGCACAGCCTGCAGCATAGGGCAGCAGACGGCTCCCAGGAGTGGGACAGAAGCCGGTGTGGGAGCCTAGCCAGCATCTGGAAGAACCCCTGCGATACAGATTGGAGGGACTCTTTCATCAATACCCAGGCAATAGTGACAGCAGAGCCCTGGGCAGCGAGGAGGAGGCCTTGATATGGAACTGGTAGGTGGGGCCCTAGCAGTGTTTAACTGGTAAAAGAAATTGAAGTGCCTGTTCTCCAGAACTATGCAGATAACGGAGCTCTCTCTGGACACGCTGGCTGTGCAGCCAAGTTCCTCACGAGGCAGAAAGATCTGTTGGTGCTGTGGCGAATGCCAGCTGCAAAAGTCATGCCACCAGCCCCACAAAACTGACACAGGGCTAGCTCAGAGCCACCAAAAGTGGACGCCATCAAGCCCTGAGGTACTGGCTGTGGGCCAGGCGTAGGGTCCCCGGGTACAGCTGCTGCAGATGGGATGGCTGTGCAGCCAAGTTCCTCACGAGGCAGAAAGATCTGTTGGTGCTGTGGCGAATGCCAGCTGCAAAAGTCATGCCACCAGCCCCACAAAACTGACACAGGGCTAGCTCAGAGCCACCAAAAGTGGACGCCATCAAGCCCTGAGGTACTGGCTGTGGGCCAGGCGTAGGGTCCCCGGGTACAGCTGCTGCAGATGGGATACCCCTTAGTACACAAGCCTGGCTGGGCACCATGTATGTGTGTGTGTGGGGGGGGGGCAGGTGTGTGTGTGTGTG